GCCAAAGCGAGGGCTCTTAACTACAGGACTGCACGGCTTCTCGAGAGAAACAGATGGATCTGAGCAATAAGAGGAACAGCTCACAGACGGGATTAATTCACTGTTCAGCTTAGAAAATCACTAAAGATCATTAATTAGGTAAATGCTTACTGTAACTCACCATAGAGCCTGGTACACGCTCTTGGAGTTGCCCACATGGTTGATTTGCTCTGTCCATGGTACCATATTGAAAGTGGCAAATGTTCCCCTGGCAGTCACATGGGCATCATGTCACATCCCACTTCCCGCTGTCTTGGAGGAAGAATGATTACCTCTTTGAATTCTCTGCCCTATCCTAGACCCCCCAGGTGAATTCCACACATCCCATCCAGTCATTGTTGTAAATCAGGCTATCCTCATACTCATGCTCCAAATTTGAGAAATTCTATCCAACTATTTTACATGATGCAGTGACAGACAAACATTTAAATTTGTTTATTTACTGATTAAATATGAGAGACAAAGGAGAAAGGAAATTTAAAATTAACTGAAGTCGCTTCATGCTCAGGGGATAAGGGCAATGTGTAATGAAGGATAACAGTAATAACTATGACAATTTGGAAGAAACACTTTGCAAGTTGAGCAGACTGGCTAGTTTGAAGAGAAAGATGGTGAGCTTGCCTTTGTGAGCTTTTAATTGGAGTTGACAGTGGAACACCCACGTAGAAACGTCCTGCAACCAGCTGGAGCTGACTGGAGCTCCAGAGAAAGGGAGAGGATAGAAATCTAAGTCAAGATTCATCAGCCCAGAGAGATGAGAGTTGAAATTTTGAGCCATGACACGTCCTCTTTGGAAAGCTGAGCAAGTAGCAGAGAGCCAAGCTGGGCCTTGAGTCGATGCACAATACATACTTTTTGATTTTCACATAGTAGAGTCCAGCAAATAAGTCCTAATCAAAAACCACTGCCTGTGACTCTAAGAAAGATCTTTTGAGGCTTTGAAATAATTTTATGGGGAGAGTTGGGAACAAAGTCAAATTTCAGGGCACCATGTAGGAGAATAATTAGGTACGAATTGGAGGCAGTGGGTGAGGGCTGAAGTCCTCAGAGCTTACCCTTTATGGCTCGCATGCAATTTCTTTTATCACATTCTCTTTTAGATTATGGCCTGAGTTAGTTGTATATTTGTTTTCACAATGATTCTGAATTCTCCAAGGGCCAGGTCTTTGCCTTATTCATCATTTTTGACCCTTTAACACCTAAAACATGACTTGCAAAAACAAATGCTCAATAAAAGTTCTAAAATTCACTTCTCTGCTCAAGATTGGCTCTAGATGGCCTCTGGCAGTGTTTTCAACATTTCGATGTTCCTTACTTTGGAGCAGGAGATGAACCGGTGGTACATGGACAAATTACATTTGTTTTAAAAATAAGTCATTTAAGGGATTGGGATACCAAAGCCAGACAGGATACAGCACAGGGTTGATAAACTCTAGGTATGCATTTACTTTTTACAGAGACAATGCATTTCCATTTATGACTTTGGTATGAAATTTTAAAATTTTAAAATAACTATGTTTAAGTTAAAACAAAAGCAAGTTAATAAAGATATTTAAAAATAAGTAAATTTTAGTAGATGACGCAGACCAGCATGGTAACGATCTTGAAGCCAGTGGATGAGACACCCCAAGTTTGAGCTGATGGCCTTATGCAGTTTGTCATAATCTGTCCCACCCTACCTCACCCCTTCTCCTGTTTAACTCTATGCATTCTGCTCTCCCTCTCCAGCAATAGTAGCCGTAAAATCAGGAGCTTCAAGTGCTAGTTATATTTTTCACAATACACATTAAAATAAACGCAAACCTATACAGGTAAAAACATATGCATCCATAGCCCACCTAAAATTATCTCCCACCCCCTTTTGGGAAACATTGCTGTTTGGAAATTTATCTGGTCTCCCTCACTCATCTGGGGAATCCTTCACATCAGGCACCATGGATTGTTCACAGCAGCATTTCTGGCCGTAGAATAGTGCCTGGCATACAGCAGACATCGTTAAGTGTTTGTTCGGAAAATGAAAGGACAGTGAAACGCCAGCCATAATGTTTAATAGCTGAGATACTGGTGTGCCAAAGCCGGACTCAGTACAGTTCAAAGATGATGATCTCGGGGTTCCCCTGCATGTGGTTAGCGGTAGAAACAGACCGCAAGACGTGGCATTACCCACAGTGGAGCTCTCCCCGGGATTCTGACGAATGAGTTTGGGGGGCAAGTTGAGTTCTTCCAAGCAGAAAGCAAGCAAGTGAAATCTCTCCCTCACTTATTTCTCTCTCTCTGTGGCCGATGCCATCTGTTCGTTTTAAAAATAATTTTTAAAAGCAAGTGTTTTGGTTCTCTTCAATGTGCAGCAAAGACAGATGCTATTTTTAGGCTTGTTTTCTATCAAAAAAAAAAACCCCAAAGAACCAGGGGCTGGATGTCGATAGTTCTGGCTGACTGTCTCCACTCTGCCACTGACTTGTCTGTGACCTTTTTGCAAATCTCATATGGCTTGGACTCTGAGAACAGAAGTGATAATTCTGCCTCCTCTCTGCCTCTCATTAGAGATGTTGAGAGGGTGAAGTAGTATCAGTCTGAGAAAGTCGACATTTCCAAAAAAAAAAAATGATTAACCTGTACGCCTCTCCTGTGACCTGCCAGCTTCTGTCTTGATGTATGACTGGATCTCTATGTCCCTTCTCTCCTGCCCTCAACCTGGTGCCCTCAGAAGGGAGGACACACCCACACATCCTTACAATGTCTAGCTCAGAACCTTACATGGAAAGCAGCCTAATAAGAGGTTGCAAGTGTAGACCGTGGGAAGGAACTGCCTGGGTTCAAATCTTGGCTCTGCAACCTAACAGCTGAGTGACCATCGGCAAGACCCTTTCTGATCTTCAACTGTCGTGTCTTTACAAGGGGGAGAATAGTAATACTGATCACATTGGGTTGTTTAGAGAGAGAAGTGAGACAATAGATATAAAGCACTTGGCTCAGTTACATAGTAACTGCTCACAAGATGGTAGCTTTATTTCTTATTGCTGTTATTCTAATTATTAGACAATACACATTTGATAAATGTACATATGGCTGTTATATTTAAGATAAAGTTCATGCACTGTAAGGAACTGGTGATTTAACATTTGTCACACGGCCAACATCATGTTAGGCACTTTACATATGTTGTCTTCGTACTCTATGGGGCAAGTGAACAATGTCCACTGTACAGATAAAGAGAAAGCTGGAGATCTGAGAGGTTAAGTTAACTGCTCATTGTTGCCCAGCTAGTAAGTAGTGGAATGAGACTTCAAATCTTATATTGATTTCAAAAGTGGAAACTTTGCTCTCTGCTTCACTTTCCCAGACCCTGCTCCTGATTGCATAGCCCCGCACAAAAGCTTTGCGACTTTTGACGGTAAACCTCTCTTTACATTGCAACCCAGCCCTCCCGACATACAAATATAACCAAAACACACATGTCACAAAATAACCTAGTGGTACCCTGTGCAGGGCACTCTGATAATTTCTATTCCATTCTCTTTCTTTTTGTGTTTTATTAAGTTGATCATGTGGCATAAAGGAATAGCTTGACCCAAGTGGCAGTCTCTAAGGAGAGGTGAAGTCATTCATTCATTTAACAACAGCCTTTGATGGAAGGAGAGAAGGCGGATGTCCTGTAGGTGCTGCCCAAGGACCATAACACACGTCGGTCTCATTGAATCCTAGCAACAGCGCTGTGGTTCAGTTATCATCTCCATTTCTCAGAAAAGGAGACCCAGATGTTTCATAACTTCTCCAAATATACCCAGCTATCAGGAGGCAGAGCTGGGTTTCAGATAAAGTCTCTTTGGAAACATTCTCTGGGCACCTGCTATGTGCTAGTCGTGGCACAGGAATGGGGCTTACACGGCTGAGCAGGACACAGCCCCTGACTTTACGTCTCCCTTGAAAGATGTGTTGAAAAACTTCCCTGAATGGGGTATAGATTTCTTTTTCTGGCCCAAATTCTTTTACTTCTAGATATGCCCTCCTAGCCACTATTTTTCAAACTTTAATAATTCATTTTTTTTCCTGCATAGTCTCTCTGTTAGTTATCTAATGCGGAGTCCCTCAAAATCCAGTGGCTTAAAACAACAATAAACATTTATTATCTCACAGTTTCTGTGGGGCAGGAATTCAGGAGTGGCTTACCTGGGTCGTTCTGGCTTTGGGGTCTCCAATGAAAACTGCAGTTGGGATTGCCAGCTGGGATTGCCATCATCCAAAGATTTGCCTGGGCTGGAGGATCTGTTTCCAAGGTGGCTTACTCGCATGGCTGGGGAGTCGGTGCTGGCTGTTGGCAGGAGGCCTCAGTTCTTCGCCGGATGTACCTTTCTATAGAACTGCTTGACTGTCCCCTGACTTGGTGGCTGGCTTCCCCCAGAGCGAGCGATCCAAGAGAGAGCAAAGTAGAAGCTGTAATGTCTTACGTGACCTAGTCTTGGAAGTCACGCACTGTTGTTTTTACAATACGCTGTTAGTTACACAAATTAGTCCTATTCCTTGTGAGAAGGGACTGCACAAGGACGTGAGCACCAGGAGGTGACAATCACTGGGGGGCCATCATGGAGGTTGGCTGCCACTGCTGCCTATTACCTGTAATATGATTTGCTCAATATTTCCCACTTTTTATTAAAATTAGCTTTGTCCTAAACAATAATATCTATTAAGTCACAAGATTAATGGGCTAATTACATTTTCCGGTACAAATGAATATAAACTTAGAGTTATTAATTAAAAAACAAATTCCTGTACCACCTCCGCTCACTTGCACACCTCCAATGGCACACGTACTACACTTGGAGAAGCAATGGGCCTGGCGAATAAGGGCCTGTCATAGGGTCCTGGTGGTTTTGGTCATAAATCCCAGCTGCTCCCTGCTCTCCACTTGGACCCCAAGAAGCTGCAAGATGTTGATTTTGCTCTTTACTCTCCTCTTCCAGGACCGCCTGTACTTTGTGATGGAGTATGTCAACGGGGGTGACCTCATGTACCACATCCAACAAGTTGGCCGGTTTAAGGAGCCTCATGCTGTGTAAGTGGGAACTTGTGCTTTCCCCTTGGGATGAATGGATGATTGTTAGTTCCCTTGGGTTTTTAGCTGAATAGGGATTGTAAACATCCTTGGCTTCTTCATGAGAAATGTATGGCCAATGGAAAAGGGCATTCTGCTTGATATGGGGTGCATCTTTCTTTCCTGATACCAGCTAAGAACTTGAAGCTTGAAAACCGCACCTGTTTCCTTATCTCTAATTCTTTTTATTTTTAAGATTGGCACCTGAGCTAACATCTGTTGCCACTCTTTTTCTCCTTATTATTCTTCTTCCTCCCAAAACCCCACAGTACATAGTTGTAGGTCCTTCTGGTTGTGCTATGTGGGGCGCCGCCCCAGCGTGGCCTGATGAGCAGTGCCATGTGGGTGCCCAGGATCTGAACTGGCAAAACCCTGGGCCACCGAAGTGGAGCACACAAACCTAACCATTCAGCCGTGGGACCTGCCCCTCCTTATCTCTCATTCTTGCCCCTGACTCTTGAGGAAAGGCTCTACAGCTTCCTTGGAGAATGTCATCGTAGGTTTTGTTTATTCTTTGCTGGAATTTATTAGGAGCTTACTCTGTGCCAGGCCCAGAGAGGTTTTGGAAACTTGCTCAAGATCACAGAGCTGTGTGAGGCAGACCCAGAATTCTGACCCGACTCTCCTTTGCTCATGTTCTCTGTCCTACACCACACTGTCTCTTAGGTGCCCTCATGCCAGGGAGATGAAAGATCAAGCTGCATAGAGGCTGTGCTCTGTGGGGTGGGGAGACTGGCTCCAGGTTCTTGGAAATGTGTTTCCCCTCCTGAGTCCATTCTGTCCCCTTCAGTCCACAAGGCAGCCAGTCTCTTCTTTGTAGCATGCGAATCTCTTCATATTTCTCCCCTGCTGTTGGTGAACAGGAACATGGCAAATCACAGGATTAGCCACAATAACGTCTCCCAGAGAGTTTGCTGAGATCTTATTCTCCCTCTAGAAGGCTCTCAGGGGCTCATATCTAGGACCCCATCCTGTCATTGCAGAGGTTTACTGGCTCCTGTTCAAATCAGCCTTGCCTCTTCTCCTCCCACCTGCCAAGATTGTGAGCACTATGTTCTGATAGGGTTTGCATTCTTGTGCTTCCAAATCATGCCATTCATATATCTTGGCGCAATTCTAATGGGATTATAAGGTTGGGTCTCTTCTTTTATTTCTAACATCTAATTGACTACAGGCCTTAATCCCATTATTACACAAGATGTATTGTCAGGACACTTAACATAGTGCCCAAAGCCCTGCCTAAGCCTGTGGTATAACTGAGCTTTCTGGCTCTCCCAAAACCTCTTTCCTTCTGGGCCTTCATTAAGAGCTTACACATCAGACAGGTGCTGTTTCCAATCCTGGCTGGGCCATTCATTAGCTGTATAACTTGGCCAAATTATTTCATGTCGCCAAGCCTCAGTTTTCTCATTTAAGGAACAGGGAGGTAATAGTAAGACCTACCTTATAGGATTATTATTAGGATTTAATCAGCTAATAACCTGAAATGGTACCAGGTAGATAGTAAGCCTTCAACAGATGGTAGCTGTTATTATTAAGATATTTTAACTTGCTATAGTCTGAAACTGTCCTCCATCCAGTCCATGACACCCCATGGCCTCCCCCACTAAGCGACTACTGAACCTCTGCCCACCCCCAATTTGTCCTTAAGGCAGTCTCATGGCTCTCTAAACCCTATTAATCCGTCCACACTCTCATACTTCATTTTATGAGATGTGTGACTGACCATCCATGGTGGGACATTAATGCCCTACGCCTAGTTCAATACTATATTGAATTCTGAGAGTTGCCAAGCCTATGGTGTCCTTGAATTTCTCCATTGCGTTTTTTTTTTTTAATTTCAGATTTTACGCTGCAGAAATTGCCATCGGTCTGTTCTTCTTACAGAGCAAGGGCATCATTTACCGGTAAGTGAACACTGCTGTGCTTTCCATCTCCTCATCTCCCTCAGCTCCTCCCTTCCCTGGCTCTTCCTTTAACTGCTTTTAAAATTAGAATCCATGCTGGGGGAGGAATCCTCCAGTACTAACTTGGGCATGTGTTCTGCCAGGCAGCATCGCCCACTGCCCTGGCAGAGTTTGGGCAGCTCTATATGGTGATAGAAGATCTCGATGGACTCTGCCACCACTGATGGTTCAGAGATTCAAATGTGAGAGCAATTGCTCTAAGAGAAGGAGGCACACCACTGGGGGCCCAGCACCTCTTTCTCTTGCCTGCGGACCCCACATTTGGGGAGTAAGCAGAGAATCTTGGCTGGCAGAATGTGATGGATCATGTTATTATGAAACAAATTTTTTTTTTTTTTGCTGTGTAACTACAACTTGGAAATGGATCTCTGAGTAGCTTGCCCTAAAAGACAGGATTAAGTTCAGGACTTGCCATTTGCTCGTTTTTGGAGGAGGAAGTGTATGATCATAGCTGTGTGAGTCATCCCATTTTATATTTCATGCAAGGCAGACTGTTGAGCCTGAGGCTGCTATTTGTCAGTGAGTCTGGGGTGTATAATTCTCCTTACACCACATGGATGCAGATGGCATAGACAGTGCAGACTTGGGCTGGTTTGTTATGCAGGAGGGGCTGGCAGGGGCATGGGGTTTCCAAAGGGCACGTGGCACAGGCGAGAGTCTGTTAAAAGATCATGAAGCGCCATAAAGTCCATTTCATTCATTCATTTGACAAGCATTTATCAAAAGCCTACTATGTGCTAGGCACTCTTCTCGGTGGTGGAGATAGAGCAGTGAAGAAGATATACAAAACCCCTGCCTTTGTAGAACTTATATTCTAGTGGTGGGGGTCAGATATGTAAATCATAAAGATATAGTCTGTCAAGTAGATGAGTGCTGTGGAGAAAAATCAAGCAGAGGAGGGGCTGGTGGGTGCTGGGTGGTGGTGGGTTCCCTGTCATTCTGTAGAGAGCATGGGATTAGGGTCTAGAGAGTTAGGGGGACCTCAGAGTCCTGGGCCTCTTGCTGCAACTGAAAGGTATGGGGCTAAAAGGCGTAAGGATTTAGCCCTGGTGGTCTCAAGGCAGATAGGAAGGTGAGCCTATGGGTTCTGGTGGGATGGAGGGCTGGAAGGTGGGAGCCTTGCAGGAAGCCTGCTGAGTCCTGGGGCTCTTTTCACTCTTTGAAGTGGCAATGAGTCCAGTGGGGCAAGGACAATCCTACCCTGAACGCATAGAGTCCCCACTCTCTCTGTTTACTCCTGGTAATGGAAGGATAAAGGTCAGGAAGAGGAGTGTTCACCTGGCACTGGCACATGGGTGATCTCAGTGAAGAAATAGAAACAGAGAGAAGGAGAATTCAAACTGTAAATGCTGTGGTCTTGTGCCTGTGCTTGCCCTCAATGAACACGGCTCACCATGTGAGTGTGAGATGGGCTGGTGAAGCCTCTAATTCCCTCAGTTCCCCCTTCCACTGTCATAGTGGGAGCATCTTGGACCGAATGTAATTCTGGTGTTGAAAGATACACATTATCTTCTGTATGATATGACCCCTAAATTCAAGCCAATGACTTCCGTTGGTGCTTAACCAAAGAAACAGGAGTCATGGGTAATTGTTCACTCAACGTGATTTTCACCTTCTGTGCTGCCACCAGAAGCTACCTCCTATAGAGGATGGGCCTCCCGTAGAATACAACCAGCCACTCGACGATTGCTGAGAAGGTTAAACATGAGACCGCAAGTTTATTGGAAGAAAATCCAGTCCCAGGGGAGGTTCCAGGAGAGGAAATAATTAGACTTCTTGTCAACTTGGTTGGGATTCAGAGCCAAGTTTCCAATCTAGTAAGGAAGTGGATTGGGATCTGGGATCCATGGATCCAGAACGTTGACCATTCAGGTCATAAAACCCAAAGATTAGCATTTCGGGTGCTAAGACCATATCTAACTCCCAAAGCTCTTTCTCCTAACTACACATTCTCCCCTTCTTCCTCCACTATTCGTATGTTTTTTAGGGGACATTTATCACTCTTTTAAGCCTCTCAGTATCTGAACCCCTTTCATTGTATATAGGAACAGAGTCCATCTCTTACTATACAGATGGGAAATACCAGATACTTTCACGGCCTCCCTGCAGCAAGGGCAGGCCCACCGCCTAGGCTCTGACACTTGTCACACTCACTCAAGATGTTGAATCAGCAGTTAGTGACCAAGAAAGCAGAAACTGCAGCATTGAGAGTGGCCACGGCAATCAGGTACATCTAGTTTTCAGAGGCGTGAGGGGAAGCAGTTAGCAGCAACACCCAGAGTCCAGCAGTAGGGCTTCCTGAAACAAAGGGTGATGTTTGTGCCCAATGGTGGTATCAGTGACATCTTCACTGGTCCAGCTCTGTGTTGCCATTAGGTATTATTCCTCACTGGGAGCCTCCAAATCTAGTTCTCTAGCCTCCTTAGAGATTCTGGGAGCTCCCCAATACCCTTTTAAAAATTCCTTTTTAGGTCAAAATAGTTATAGTATGTTTTTGTTGCTCACAGTCAAGACCTTTGGTTGAGGCAGAGTTTTCGAAATTGATAATCAAATGAAAACTATAAAAAAAATTACATGACAGGAGATGTATGGTTTCATAATTTTGTTGAGATTGTCTTCATGGTGGTAAAGTCTCTTAAAATGTCATAAATCCCTCCCTCCTTCATTTAGAGCTTAGTTAATTGGTCAGTTCTTAAGTAAAAGGGGTGAAGAGTTACATTAGAACTGCCCTCTCTGAGGACCGCGGCTGGAGATGTTGGGTTGGGGGAGGACCAAAGATACTTCTAAATTTAGTGTCTGATTTATTGATTGCCATCTCTGACATGTGTGTTGATTTTGCTCTTCATGGATTTCTGAAAATGAAAACAATTGCTCCAGCCCCTTTTTGAAGCAGAAACGAGGATTTATTACATTGAACAGAAGAATGCGGTAGACTATCAAGACACTACTGAGTGACAGTGAATATGACTGGGGTGTCCTCCAGCCCCAAGACCTGCTGGCTCTTGACACCATGACAGATCAAGATTTTATCACTCCCCTAGTTGCCCCAGCTGCCTGTTTTGAGACATGTGGTCAAGCTGAAAGGAATGTCTTGAGTCTCTGTTAATCAAATCACATGTAGACCTGATACGTTTGGGTAAAGTAAGTTGGACTTTGCTGCAAAGTCCAGTTTTTCTAAGTTCCAAGCTGGCATTCAGAGACCACCCATGACTTGTAGGTAATCATGAAGGCTCCATATGGGTAGTACCACGGACAGCACCAAAGAGAATGGAATGTTGCTGTTGGCAAACAGTGGATGCAACTGGGCCTCCCCTTGGATGAAGAGACCTCACAGACACAGATAGGAGATGCCAGGGTATATTTTCAAGTTGTATTCTTTTAGTTGAAAATGATGACAGCAACTCAATTCAAACTAACTTAAGTTAAAAGAGGCATTTTTTGGCTGACAACCAAGAAGTCCAGGGGGCAGATCTGACTTTAGGTCTGGATGGAGCAAGGGGCTCAAATTATAAGTATTCACTTTATCACCCTCTCTCTAGGCTCTGCTTTATCTATTAGCTTTCTTTTCTCCATCTGGTACCCCTGGCACTTCTAGACTTACATTCTGCCACCTGAGCAATCCCAGTGTAAAAAGAGCTCATGTCTTTCCTGATGGTACCAGCAAAAGTGCCAAGACTGATGCTCACTAGCTTTGATTAGCTCATACTGAGTTACGTGTCCACTCCTAAACCAATCACTGTGACCACAGGGTGGGATATTTCCACTGTCCAGGACAGGCCCACAGGACCACTCCTGGAGCCAGGAGTTAGGCTCAACACCACCAACCTTACATGGCTTGAAAATCAGGGAAGGATGGTTCTTCAAAGGAATATTAGGACACCCTCACCCCAAGATGCTAGAATAGGCAGAAACCACAATGTCCACCACCTAGTGAAGACAATTTAAGGTCGAGATCTGAATTGACCAGTAGATCCCCTCACCTCTCGGGAAGTTGCCCTTCTATTAGAATTGAGGAAGTCTGGCCCATAGATCATCGCTATTCATTGGTGCTGAAATACCAAATGTTGACACTGGAGTGGGTAGTTAGGGAGGAGGAAAGTGTATTGATACTGGAGTGACCTGATATGCTGGGAATGTGCAAGGGTCCCCCAAAATATCAAGCTCTCCTCATCAACACAGATGAAATAAAAGAATGAGAGTGTACCACATGTCCTTTAGGTTAATGCTCAAATGTCACCTCTTTGGAGAGGTCCTTCCTGACACCCTGTTTAAAGTGACCTTCCCTAGTTACTCTCTATCTCATCATCATCTTTGTTTTCTTCATACCATACATCAGAACCTATAATAATCTCGCGTACAGATGTGAATACTTAACTATCTTTTTCCCTGTACTGGAATTTAATCTGAACAAGACCAGGGTACTTGTCTATCTTGTTCACAGTGTATAGCTAGCTTCAAGCACAGTGCCTGTCACATAGTAGGTGGGCAAGAAATATTTTTTGATTGAAAGAATCGATGGAAACTCCTGGATCATCTCCTAGGAGCTAGCCTAGGAGGGCTTGGAGTACTTGGAATTAAGTAATGTTCTTTCAATCAGCTTTTTTCTCTGTGATCCTCAGAGATATTAACAAAATATTAATTTTGTGAAAAGTATATCTTCTTATGAAATATAAGGGGTCCTTAAGTTGCAAAAGTCAACTCTTGAAATGCTTCTGGATACAGGATGCCTCCATGGACATTCTGCCCTTTATTTGGCTTTCTGTAGATCTCTCTCTTCCCAGAGCTGCTGTCTCCCTGTGTCCTCGTGAGACTCTTGGCACAGTTGCTCTGTAGAAAAAGAAAAACAACAGAGGTTTGCGGACCCTTCTTCATCTCCCGGCCAGTTTATAAGCTGTTGGAGGGCACTCAACTTTGTGCCCCCACAACATTTAGCACAGTGTTTTATACAAAATGAGTGGTTGTTGGTTGACTTGAAACAAATAGCATTTAATTAAATCCCTAAATTCTTATGTCTGCCGCAGTGACCTAAAACTTGATAACGTGATGCTAGATTCGGAGGGCCACATCAAGATCGCTGATTTTGGCATGTGTAAGGAAAACATCTGGGACGGAGTGACGACCAAGACATTCTGTGGCACTCCAGACTATATCGCCCCTGAGGTGAGAGCTGATGGGATCCCTAACGCATGTCTGCGTTGCCTCGATGTCGCCCTTGTGCTCCAAATGGCCGTGTCGTTGCTGGGGAGGGTCCGGTGGGGGGGGGGGGGGGGGTACCTGGCAAACAAGCTCAGGCTGGTCCTTCTCCTGTACTTGAAATGATTCCTTTGGGATCACACATGCAAATTAACTTAGCACACATCCAGAAGCTCAGGCCCAAAATATATCAAGGTTTGGGAGAAAATTTAAATAAAACTCAAAAGAACCATCCACACATCAGTAGAATTCTTCATCAAGCTGCTGTGGCTCATGGCCATATGATGCCTCCTGATTATGACATTGAAATGTTTGTTAAAAGCAGGGAAAGAAAGAGAGAGATTGACCCCTTGGGCTGATGTGTGACACAGGGTCTGTGGATAGTAGGTATGCAGTAGCTGTGCTGGACCCTGAGAGTCTTCCTGTGATTAAGCTGTAAATGGAACGGTGAGGATTTTATTCTAACGCCTCCCCCTCCCTTCCCAAAGGAAACGGTCAGTGGCAGAATGGATTTCCCCAACATGTCATGGTACAAAAATTTGTACCAGATGATATCTTTCCTTTTTCTCTGAGTCGGTGCTCAAAAAGGTGGCATTCTGCAATCTGTTACTAGATTTTTTAGGAAAAGAACTGAGGGCGTGGCACAGAGTCTTGGAAATGCACATTCTAGAATTCCTCTCTTCTTGCCTGTCAGTCACTTGGTATGTAATAATGGTGGTGGGAGGCCCAACTAAATAACTTGGCACAAAATTTAAAACCTGCATACTCCTTTACCAAAGCTGTTCCTCCTGCAGGAGCCTAGTGTGCAGGACACACATTCACACACAAGGGTGGAAGGTTATGTGTTCAAAGTTCTTTCTTCATTGCAGCACTGAGTTTTTTTTTTTTTTGGAGGAAGATTAGCCCTGAGATAACGTCCACCACCAATCCTCCTCTTTTTGCTGAGGAAGATTGGCCCTGAGCCAACATCTGTACCCATCTTCCTCTATTTTATATGTGGGACGCCTACCCTAGCATGGCTTGATAAGCATTATATAGGTCCATACCTGGGATCCACACTGGCAAACCCCAGGCTGCTGAAGCAGAGTGCACCAAGTTAACCACTATGCCACCAGGCTGGCCCTGTGATTTTTTAATAATGAAAAATAGGAGACAACCTCAACAGTTATCAGTAAAGGAATGGTTAGCTAAAATATGCTATAGTCATATTACGAAATACTACACAGCCCTTACAAAGGTCAGAATGCATCTGTACGTATGAACGTAAGCAGTGTCCATCAATCACAGAACGGGCGATAGACTGAATTGTTTATAGTGTGGAATACTACTAGGCGTCAATTCGAAATAGTAAGTTAGATATATATGTAGATATGGAAAGATCTTCGAGACATATTCTTAAGAGAAAAAATCACGGTACACAATAATAAATACAATGTGATACCATTTGTGGAAAATAATGACAATGCACAGAACACTGCTAAATGTTTCCTATGAGTATGTATATTTGCATGTAAAAGCATAGAAAATGTGGAAGATTATAGACTGAGTTTATAACGTTGGTTACCTCTGAGGATAAGGGCATGGTAAAGGGAAATTTAGCTCACACTGTAAATAAGTTTTTCACAAGGTAAATGTATTTGTGTATTACTCAAGTAATTAAAAAGTAATCCTTAAAAAAAATTAATTCTTTCTTTTTAGGGCCCAAGGGAGTTTTCCCTATGTGGCATCACTTGGTTTGTTCTCATTGTGTTAATTAGTTAGGACATCAGACACAGTCCCTTGATCTCCACGCGTTCAGTCATCTCTGGTTCGCAACCCTTGCTGCACTTTATGGTCACCTGGGGAGCTTTTAAAGTGTAAGGTGCCTAGGTGTCCCCACAGGTCAGTCGAATCAGAATCTCTTCAGGGTGGGGCCCCTGTCTGTGGTTTCCAAAAGTTCCTGGGGGTTGTGATGCTAGCAAGCCAGAGAAGCCCCTAGGTGTGTTGCTGGTCAAGTGGCGTCTTCCTCAGCCCACTGACTGTAGGAATAAGCTGGGTTTGCCACTAACTGATCACATCACCTCCAGCAACTTCTTTCACTTCCCCAGGCTCTGTTTTCCTTTGTAAAAGGATTAACTTGTCAGGTTGTCACGAGGATCAAATAAGACATGAAGTACTTTAAAAGTGTGAAAACACTTTCAGTGAGAAGCGTTCTCACAGAAAGCTTTCCCTTCAGTCTCCGGCAGTTAATTCTCCTCAGAGGGCGTGTCTGATTTTAGAGTGGAAGCCGAGGTGAGAGATGGAGTTCTGTGAACAGACCTGCACATATAGCCAGGTTTGCTCCAACACATTTGTGGAGTAAAACGAGCAATCACTGAATTAGAGAACTTTCTAGTAATAGCTAAGATTTTGAGGGCATTGTGTGTGAGAGGCACATATTTCTCTTTCATTCTCACAAAACCCTATGACACAGATATCATTATAAACCTTGTTTTGTAGATAAGGAAACTGAAACTTAAAGAAGTTAAATCATTTCCCTCAAAGTCACACAACCAGGAAATAGCAGTCAGGATTCAAAGTCAAGGCTGTTTGACCCTCAAACCTTGACCCTTAACTTTTGCTATATCACCTCTTAACCCCTTTGAACCACTTAGTTTTACACCTGTACCTACTGAAGTTGGATGGTCACACAGCTATTCCAGACTTTGCCATGCTCTGACAATTTGGTAATAAGTGTCAAAAATCTGAAAACTAGGAGCCAGCCCCATGGCTGAGTGGTTAAGTTCTTGCACTCCGCTTCGGCGGCCCAGGGTTTCACTGGTTTGGATCCTGTGCGCAGACATGGCACCGCTCGTCAGGCCATGCTGAGGCGGCATCCCACATGCCACAACTAGAAGGACCCACAACTAAAAATATATAACAATGTACTGAGGGGATTTGGGGTGAAAAAACAGAAAAAAAAATAAGATTGGCAACAGTTGTTAGCTCAGGTGCCAATCTTTAAAAAAAAAAATCCCATTATTATAATTAAAAAAAAATCTGAAAACTATATACCATTTGATCCACCAATTCTACTTCTAGGAATTTCTCTTAAGGAAATAATTGGACAAATGTCCAAACACCTAATCCCAAAGAATATGAATAGTAGCATCAGAAGAAACCTAATCAATTGGGAATTGACAAAATAGATCTTGGTATATTCATTCAATAGAAGGCTATGCAGAGGTAAAAACTGATTATGTTAATGTACAAATATTAGCATAGAAATTTGAAGTGAATAAAATACTTCATTAAAACTCTACATATTAAAGTCTTTATGTGGCACACACATACACGCAGAGCTTAATATTGTATCAATAGAAAAGAATCTAGAAGGTAATAGGCCAAATATCAATCATAACTTTTTTCTCGATAAAGGATTATGGGTGACTTCAATTGTATTCTCTTAGCTTATCTATATTTTTAAAATAAATCATAAAGTGGTAATACATGCTATTACATTTTTTAACTTAAAAAATTTTAATTGTGGTAAAAAAACTCAAAACATAAAATTTACATCCTATCCATTTCTAAGCGCACGGTTCAGTGGTGTTAAGTATATTCACGTTGTTATGTAAATATTATTACTTTTGTAATGAGAAACAAAGACAGTTTTTCTTCTTAAAAAGGCCGCACTCACTGTATGAAAATGAAAGCTAGCACACTGTGCTCAGTGCCTCGGAAAGACCATGTGGCGTCCCCAGATGTTCCCCTGCCTGCAGGTCCCTCTGTAAAGCCTATCCATCTTCCGAAGGTAAAGAAATAGCGGGGTGGACGCCAGACGCCCTGTTCACTCTTGTAGACAGTGGCCTGCATCTGGGACTGTGACAGCCCATTTAACCTGTCACAATAGGCAGGTGGCAGGAAGAGGAAAGAACTCCCACCCCCCGCCCCCAGCGATGCTCCACTCTTATTGTAAAAGACGTGCGCCTTCAGACTCCAGTTGCGACAAAAACCTGCACGCCTCCCTGATGCAGTGCCTTCTGTTTTCCAGATAATTGCTTATCAGCCCTATGGGAAGTCCGTGGATTGGTGGGCATTCGGAGTCTTGCTGTATGAAATGTTGGCTGGGCAGGTAATCGAATTTGAAGTCATTTGTAAGGAAAGTCCTCCCCTCCCCTCATCTATACGGTTTCTTTAGAGCAAAGTGTCAACTTGATCCCAGCTCGTAGATTTGAACTTCTGTAACTTCCACGGCCTTGGGGTTACCCTAATTTCTTGATCATTTTTCCTTGTCTTCTCGCTGGAAGCCCTGGAGTGTGGCCTCACTGGGGGCCCCAGGGAGGAGGGCCTGCTGCTGTGGGATGGTTGGGGAGGTTCAGGCAGGAATCTTTCTCCTCCCGCCCTTGCTTCTGTCCCACAGGCTCCCTTTGAAGGGGAGGATGAGGATGAACTCTTCCAGTCCATCATGGAACACAATGTGGCTTATCCGAAGTCCATGTCCAAGGAGGCTGTGGCCATCTGCAAAGGGGTGAGTGAGCACCTTAAAGCTGGCAGCCCAACCGCCACTTAGAGGGGTACAGCCTGCATCCTGGGCAAGGATGCCCCACCCAGGGAGAACTCCGCCCCTCACCCACTTGCCAACCCAAGAGCTGTGGCAGGGAGCTGCTATCTCCTAGAGGAAAGGGAGCTTTTTTCTAATTTGCACAAAAGCACCGTAGAGGCCTGCCTGCAACAGCGTCTTGCTGCTGGCTGGGCTCCAGCCTCCAGCCCAGCACAGGGGAGTGCTTATTGAATGAATGAGGTAGGAAGCACAGAGACTCTGCCAAAGAGCTGGAGCCCATGGGAAGGTGCGCGAGAGGTCTGCGGCCCGAATCCGTCAGCCCCCACCCCCACCCCGCTCTGCCGCGTGTGTGGGTAGTTAATACTAACAGCATGTAACTTTTGTCCTAAGACAATATGAAGCCATATTGAGTTTAAGGGATTCTCTGGATCAGGCGACCCAAATTCAGTGTCTCCCCACCCAACACACAAACGGCTGAATAGCACGCTCCTTTGTACACATGCAGTGTATGCAGATCGCACCCACAGAGAAAGCAGGACACAGGTTGAGGGTACGGATTGCTTGTTATGCGGCTTGTGTTAGGCCAGGCCGTGCTCGCGGTGACCTGGGTGAGTCCCTGGAGATCAGTGGTCCTCACCTTTGGTGCTGTCAGGATGACCTGAAGTCGGAATGCACATACTTCAGCCTCGCCCCAGAGATTAAGTCTGGGCATCTGCAATTTGAGAAAGTCTCCATGTGGCTTGAAAGCCACTGCTTTTAAACGTATCCTCCAAATGTGGTAACTTTTCAACTCTGATGAAAGTGTGAAAGCATCGCGGTGAGACCCCCAGAGCGTGCGGCCCAGCGATGCTGCCTCTCTAAAGCATTCCCTCCCCCCAGTCACTGGTGCAGGTGCGTTCCCAAGGTCGCGGCATGGCTCTGCTCTCCCAGTGGGTGCCGCCTGTGTGTCCGAATAAACCACACGCACAGGGGCTGCTGGTCCTAGATCCTCGGGGTCCTTGCAGGTTTCCTAATCCCCGACCCAGCCCCGTTCTTCCCGGTTCGTCAGATGCCATGTGAGCTGGTTTGGGAGAAGAAAAGCTGGAAGATTCAGGCGGTTGGTAATCGCTGGGCCAACCTCTCAGTCTAGAAGCCCCTCTCACATCGCCTGAATTCCCACTGTTAGTGAGTCGCCTGAGCTTTGTGTTTCAGCTGCAGAGGTTACGATGCAGATATCCCTGGGGAAACCACATGTGAATTAGTCTCAATGCATAACCTCCTAAAATGAATTGGTTGAAAATATTTTCTTTGAGAGTATGAGGCAGGGAGAGGGAAAATGAGAAACAGAGAGTGGAGACCCAGGGGTTCCCTAGGAACTTAGGCAAGGCCCTTGGAAAAAATGAGGGCACAGACTCAAGCCAGTGCAGACCCCTGTAGACATTTTAAGGAGAGGCGAGGGAGGAGGCCGTATCCTGAGCTTTGAGTTTGTTTAATAATTACCAACATTTTAAGATCAGGGGATTTCCCAAAAGCATTCAACTTTCCAGTTTCTCTTGAAAAATGCAATCTCACCAAGGCCGGCCTGGTGGCACAGCAGTTAAGTTCGCATGTTCCACTTTGGTGGCCTGGGGTTCGCCAGTTCGGATGCCGGTTGTAGACATGGCACTGCTTGGCAATTAGAGGAAGATGGGCATGGATGTTAGTTCAGGGCCAGTCTTCCCCAGCAAAAAGAGGAGGATTGGGGGCAGATGTTAGCTCAGGGCTAATCTTCCTCAAACAAAAAAAAAAAAAGAAAGAAAGAAAAGAAAAATCCAGTCTTACCACGTGGTCTGTCATTCCTGCAAAGCATCACTCAGGCAGGTTAGAAGCAAATCACTTAGCCTGGTGCTCTGCTCCAAAACCCTTAGGCTATTGTTATTACTAATACTAATGTTGGCAGGACTGTGTTACACGCCAGGCTTCTCTTGCCATTTGAGTTTGCATCCCCTGCAACAGGAATTTTAAAAATGAGCGATTTTCCAGACCAAGAGACCCTTTGCACCTCTCGGCCCTTCCCCTTTCTAGGTGTGTGGTCTTGAGCAAGTTCGCATCTCCAGGCTTCTGTTTCTTTATCTCTAAAAATGGAGTCATCATACTCATTGATCAGAGTTTTTGAGAGCATTAGATGAGGTAACATAAGAGAAATGTCCTTGTGTGGTGTTGACACACAGTAGGTGCTCAATACACGCTCAGGATCTTCTCCTTCACAACTCTGCCCGGCCTGGGCAGCTGGGGTTCTAAGTGGGTCATGGAGGAGAGAGGATTTTCCAGGTCAGCTACATTCAGCTTCAGCTCCAATTAGCAGTTTCCCTGGTCCAGCAGATTTCTATTAATTTAGGACCCGTAACCTTCAGGATTAACTGGGGTGGCTTTCTTACTGTTGGGTTTGGGGACCTTTCTGAGTTGAGTGGGCTGAGTCCAGTGTGGGCTCTTTCTTCAAGGTTGATGCCCCAAAGAAGGGTGATGCTCAAGCGAACAGCCAAATGCGTCCTCCTCCACAGCGGGCCCCAGGGGATGCGTCTGGGATGTGATCAGAGATCGGAACAGTGATTAAATCCAGCTGTCTGCGTGGCTTCAGGCATATCAGCGGAGCGAGGGGCTGGGCACACTCGCGTTAGTGCTGGATATTTCTGCAGTGGCTTTTCTTTGCTTGGCATCCTCCTGCTTACACGGAAGTTGAACTAGGTTTTTGAAAACAGTCCCATTCCAAATGAAAATGTCTTCTATATCCCCATCCCATTGAAGACCCCATTTTCTACCAAAAACAAGATTAGTATAACTTTGCTCACGTTGCCACTCCCACTTTGAACAAATTTAAAGCAGACAGAAGCCAAATTGGCCACACATCAGTGTGAAAACAAGCAAAGGCTGTAGAGGACAGAGCTGTAAGAACTCCAGATCTGTGCAAAGCATGACCCTGCTACGTTGCTGTGTGACCTTGGGCAGATGACTACTTCTCCGGACCCAATTTCTTTATCTGGAAAATGAAGACAGTAGTTGCTGAGGCTTTAAAGTGTGGTTGTAAAGATGAAAGAGTGGTGAATAATGGCTGGAGAGCCTTTGACACAGAGCCTGGGCACATAGGAAGCGCTCAGTACACGGAAGCCATTATTGATATTCTTAGTAGTCAAGACTTCTCAGCCCTTTCTTTCCTGCATCCTAGTCCTACACAAATCTCAAGGCTTGGCCCAATTTGCTTGCCCTCCATAAACCTTTCCTCACCAAGCCAAGCCACAAATATCTCTGGGGAAACCACATGTGAAGAGCTCTCTGAGTTCTCTTAAAAGCCCAAGTTTTGGAGCTGTCTCGGAGTCCTTGCTAGTTGCTTAACCTCTCTGAGTGTCAATTGCCTTGTCATTCCAATGGCAAAAATAATGCACCAACTCCTTGGGTTATTGTGAGAATCAGATAAGATCGTGCATGTAAATAAAGAAGTAGCTTAGAACCTAATGCCCAATTATTTTTTCCCTTGGAACATAAAGCATACACAGAAAGTATGTGCTTGTGTATATGTGTATGTAGGGGGTAGTTTCTGATGACAAATTATCTTGTAAGCAAGAATCAGGCTAAGCTGAATGTCCAGTGGAGTAGGTGTGAATTGCTGTTTGTCTCTTCCCCATAATTCATAAATCCTAGCAAAAATCTAAGGCTTCTAACGTCACGGCTGCTTGGTGTCAAGTCAACTTGGGGAATCTTCTTGGACTTTTATGTTCTAATCACTTTTGCTTCCTCTTTTGATGTCCTCTTGTCAGGATATTTTTTTAAATCATCAACTCCTCCGTCTTTCCTCTCTGTGTATTTGCTGAAGTCTTGAGATCAGAGATATTTTCATGCTGCTTTGGATTCATTTACAAGAGGAAGCGTGTCTGGTTTCATCTTGGAGCATCTATTCATCTTGTTCTTTAGCACTGACTCAGAGACCCAAAGATGCAGGGTTTTGATAATTAAGTAATTTAAATGGAACACCAAAGAAACCTCAGCAGAGTTTAGTGTAATGTGTGATACAAGAGAAATGAGCTGGGCTAGGTTTTGACTATTTAATGAGCTTTCAGAAAGTAATTACTTGAAACTTGGGTCCATTTCACTAATATTTTTTCTTCTGTTTTGTCATTTTCACAAGCCCTTTACTGAGAAATGCAAATATTTTCTGAATGAATTTGGCCTTTGCCTTGGTCACACTCCAGTGTCCTTGTGGTGGGAGGAGGGGAATTTGAAGATTTTGAAACTGTTCTCATTAAATGCACCAGTAATTGCATAAGACTCATTCCTAAATCAAAATGCATTGTGTAACATTTCTAACTTGAAGTTCAAGGCCACCTTCAGGCTTAGGTTTGATTCAACACAGAGATCTTGCTCTGGGACAAGTAGCAGCAGGTGCTATCGTTGGGTCCTCCTATTATGAAGACCTGGCTAGGAAATTATCACTGGGATGAGAAGCAAAAAATAAAAATTAGTTGCGACTCTTCATTGTGCTTTCTTCCCTAATTCATTGGAGTAACCATTTCTGAGTGTCTCACATTTCCTCTTCTGAAGTTCATTAAATTCAACGTTTCTCTTTCTCTTGAAGCTGATGACCAAACACCCAGGCAAGCGTCTGGGTTGTGGACCTGAAGGCGAACGTGACATCAAAGAGCATGCATTCTTCCGGTATATTGACTGGGAGAAACTTGAACGCAAAGAGATTCAGCCCCCGTATAAGCCAAAAGCCGTAAGTAAACTGTTCTCTCTGACTGTTGGGTACACACGCATAACCCGCTCTTTCCCTCTCCGATTGTGTGTGCCATCCATGCTCTCTGAGGGGCAGATGCTGATGCCTCTACTTGAATATGTCTGTGAGTGCTCACGTTTATGCACGAAGTCACTGGGTACAAAAATGAAGATCTCCATTCACACAGCCCAGCCTCTGTAAATGCAGAAAAGACAATTGAATATCGAGTTTTTGTTTTGTTGATTGAATTATTGTAACTGTCTTAGCTGGCAACTTTTTGGGAACGGTTCTTTGGTGAGCAGAGTTCAGATCCATTTTTGGACTATGATAAAGAATCTAATTTTGCCCTCGTTCTTTCCTTGGTTCGACTGTGTCATGGTTTCTTAATAGTGACATTGAAAAGGTCATGTTGTTTACCTCAACAGTATTTAAATTTAATTCTGAAACATACACTACGTCTGAGTCAGTAAATAAGACAGCAGCACCAGCCGGCTCCCGCCCAGGCGAAGCGGGATGGAGCAGAAGCTGGCGTGCTCCGAGATCTCCTGGAGGCTCTGGGTGTAGATGTGGCTGCGTGGTACCTGTTAGAATGGAAGAAGAAGTCTCACCTTTCCCCTAGTCGTGTGCACACGGAGGGTTTTCCATCCCCCAAGCCTCAGGGCGGGGGAATACTTGTCAGCATGAGGGAGGAGGAGTTTGCACCTCAGTAATCACAACTGCAATGATGCCGCTGGGCGATGTTTCTTTGTAGATTAAGTACAGCGGAGACCTCGTGACTTTATTAGGGGCTGTAAAAGTGCCGTTGGCGGCTGAAAAGTGAACATAAACACTGTCGACGAATCCTGACGTTGTAAGGGTCTCGGGTGTTAAGATGAAGAAAATGACGACGATAAGGGTAGTTATTTTGATATTACTATTATTAATTTCTTGGCCACTTATTATGTGCCAGGCACCATGTTAAGCGCCTCACATGTAGCATCTAAATAAATCCTCGCAACAACCTGTTTGGCAGGTGCTGTTATTCCACGGAATGGAAGAAGAAATAGAGGCTCAGAGGGGTTATGTGCTCTGTCCAAGGTCACTCAGCTAGTGTGTGATGAAGCAAGGATTCAAATCCCAGACGGTCGGACTCCCTTAGAGGCAAACCGGAATGCCCAGGGGCAAAGGGCGTGTAGCTTAAGAAAGCTTCTCAGATGATTCTCCCCTCTCCCTGGTGCTGCACTTTCCCTCCGTCCCGGGTGATTAGAATCGCAGCTGTACAGCATCCTTCATGAGTGCTGTTTCTCTCTGACACTTCCTGGTGTCAGGAAGCCAGGTCCTAGACAGGCAGCCAGATCTGCTTCATGGCCCTTCTAATTGTTGCAGACTCATATTGATATCAAATCAGCCTCCCCAGAACTGCCACCACGGGGTCCTGTTCTGTCAACCAGAGCCTCTTTCTCTGTAGGGCATCCTTCAGACATTTGCAGATGCTGGTCTTAGATCCCTGAATCCTGTGATTTCCAGGCTAAACACACCCCTACACACACACACGCAAGCATGTTCCATATGACGTCGCCTCCAGATGCCTATTTCTCTCCAGGTAATCAACATCCCTCTTAAAATACAGACACAAGATTGAGCACAGTATTCCTAACAGCGTCTGGCCCTCAGTGAATACAGTGGGTCCAATAAACAATCTCTTGATTATTGTGGAGCTGGTGAGCTTGGACGAGTCAGTTCTCCTCTCTGCTCCTCTGTTTCATCATCTGTAACACAGCAATGATGATGGTTTCTCCGTCAGAGGATCATTATGATGCATAAAGCTCTCAATACATGCCTGGCACATAGTTGGCACTCTAGGAGAGTTAATTGTTTTTGTTAGCAGTGTCACACCTTGATCAATGTCTCAGGTGCAGAGTCTTTGAGGGGCAGAACAGTGTCGAGTCCTGCTGACACTATTCTGTAAGATAATATCCGTGTGTACACTTGGGCTTGGGGAGGGGCCCTGCACGTCACAGGCAGTATCATCGCTTTCGTTGAACCATTTGGATAAGGATCCAAAGGCAATCTGGAAGAGAAGAACGGCTTCTCTAGTCAGGAAACTGGGATCTCGGAGGTGGGGTATACAACTCATTTGGGTTTTGTGGGGCTATTCATGAGGTCTCAAAACGTGGACCTCCCCTGCTCCTCACTTGCCAGAGGCAAGATGCAAATGCTCCTGTCCCCACAGTGTTGAATCCAGTGACATTTGGGGTTCATTCTCTAGTTGTAGAACTGTGGTTTTCAAAGTGTGGTCCTCAGACGAGGAGCATCACCTGGGAGCATCAGACGCTCTGAGGGTCTGGCCCTCCAGGTGAATCCAATCACACTCCAGGTTGAGAATTCCTGCTGGGGAGCTGACTGTTAAAAGCTCAGTCAGGGAAGCTTAGCGAAGGCCAGAGGAATGTGGCAAGGAAAAAGCTCTTTAAGAGGAAGACACTGCTTCTTGCCCAGCCTGTGGTCAGGGCGGCGGGGGGGGGGGGGGGGGGGGGTGGAGGGGGCGTAGCTTCCAGGAACAGGTCATAAACTCAGATGCCTAAGAGGCCAGGCAGGTAATGTAAATGAGGGAAGAGGCAGACTGGAGAGCTGACAAGCTATCTAAAAGGCTCAGGGGGTGTTCATCTCCAGCTGAACAGTTGGAAAATCTTGTTGATCATTACTAATTACCATAATCTTTTTATATTATCCGTGGTGAGAATAGCTACCTTTTTCTGAGCACCTTCTGTGACCCAGGCACTGGACTGCCAGGTTGGCCCTGCCGGGATGCAGGCTCTCCATTGCTCCGTCCTCATCAGGATTTTTATATGAACTCTCACTCTTTTTTGATAGACCAGCAGCAAAGTTTTAAAAATTAAACACAGTTCAGGCCCAACAAAACACACCCATGAGCCCTATGTGGCCGTGGACTGTCAGTTTGTAACCTCCGGGGTAGTCATTACTCAAAGACAGGTTGACATTTAGCCAGTTCCCGTTAGTACTGGTTATTTATAACCAGAGTCCATTCTAATTGATGAAATATTTTGAATATTCTTGCTAAGCGTTAATGAATATGAAAGGTCTAGCCAGTGCCTGGCTCAGAAGGTGCTCAGGGAAAAGTAGCTGTTCTTATGGAGAATATAAGATCACAAAAATTAGTGATGATCAACAGGATCCTTCAAGTGTTCTGCATTTGACGTGGTTTCCAACCAGCCAATGCTCGAATCCCCTCACGTGGGTTTGACAATGACTTTTAGAGTACAATGACTGGGCTGCCCTATATACTTCAAGAAGTCCTGCCTCCGGCTCCAGGGCAAGAGGTGCTGCCCTTGATCTTCTTCGACTGAATTAGAAATAATAATAATAACGGACACACCACCCACTCGTTCGATTCACCCTGTGCCTGTGCCTTTCACAGAGCGAATGCTGGCTTTAGAGCCCCCCAACCCAAGGATTTCACATTTCCTCTCCCCCACACCTTCCCAGAGGCCCGAGGCGAGTGTGTGCAGAGTGCCGTGTGCTTGCGGGATATAAAAGGCATGTCTGTGTCTGTCACCGTGCTCCTGATTCATGTGTGCTGTTAAGTAGAGTGCAGGAGAGAAAAAACACGGGGCAGCAACAGAGGATGGTACTCCCACAGCACTGAAGGGTGCTGTTATTGGAGGTTCATTAAAATCATTTTAAATGGATTTTTAAGTTGTTCTCAGTGCCATCTTTCATTATGGCAAAGAGCTGTTCTCAGAGTGTCGTTCAAAGCTACGGAAATACACTAGCTTTGGTGTATGGTTTCAGGGTACAAGAGTAATTTTTTTTCAAGTGTATCTGATTGTGTCGCTCTCTTGCTTGAAGCACCCCCCGCCCCCCGCTTCCCCCAGGATAGATAATGTCTATGTTCCTTCACAGATATGACTTTTGGGGTCTTCCAGGTTCCAGCCTCTGCCCCCTCCCCAGCTTCAGCTCCTGACAAGAGCCAGCATTTCTGAGCTTCTTTCAGTTCCTCAAACATGCCCTGCCTTCTCGTTTCTTCCCGGCTTGGTCCGTGCAGAGCCCTCCACCTGGGATGCCCAAAACCCTTCCCATGCTCCCTCCACCCTCGCCCCTCCTGGTGCCTGCTCCTTCCACCTCATCAAATCGGTAGAACGTCACCCCTCAGGGAGGCTCTTGTTTCCTGGTTAGGGATCCTTGCTAGTGTCCTCTGCACAAACTCATCACACGTTGTCGTAATTACTTGTTCAATCTAATGTCGGTCTTTTTGACTAGTGAAAGACTGTGTCTGTCTTTTTCAGTGTCAAATCCCAGTGCTCAGCATAGGGTTTAGCCTATAACAGGTGCTTAATAATTTTTACTGAATAAATGAATGGCTATAAAATAGGGTGCTGCGATGCACTGCGCTGAGAAACAAGGAATTCTGGAGGGATATATATTAGAGCACGGCGTGTTTTTCTCATGTACGGCAGGGTGTCTCAGATAAATTGGTTGTTGTGTAAGTTACTACCCTATTTATAAAGGGCTATAATTTGGGTGCTGAATTGTATCTGTCAGGGCATCGTGCGGTTGTGCGGTGTGTGCTGGTGGAGTGCTGGTGAAGAATCTGAAGCTGTAACGCAGGCATCGGTGGACTTTGGCTGGAGAGGGCTGTGACTCCTGCAGTCTGCCATTGCCCTGTCTGATGCCACGGGGGCCGTGACATAGCCTAGCAGAGCTTCTGAAACCGTAATGTGCACACACGAGTCACTTGGGCATCTGAGTAAAATGTGGATTCTGACTCAGCCGGTCCGGGGTAGAGCCAGAGATTCTGCATTTCTGACATGCTCCCTGGTGGGAGGATGCTGCTGGACCACGGGCTACACTTCGCATAGCTGAGGCTCGGTCTTGGTTCTGCGGGGTGCCGCAGGCTGGTGAGTTGAATGGCAGATCCTCTTGTAGTCGGTGTGCCATGTAGGATGGTGAGGGCTGTACTGAAGGGGTATATAAGCTTTGGTACAGAACATGCTGGTGAATGT